GGGGGGGGTTTCCACAGTCTCCTTAATTCACAGCAGATTACTGAATTAAGGATTAGCCATTCAGCTGCATCTTTTACTTCAGAGTGCTGCTTTTCCACTCAGATGGAGCACATGAGCAAAAAGGCTCCTCAAAAAGTTGTACCTCAATGATTCAGCACAGCTATTTGCTGAATTTCCTTTGTCTTCATGGGGACAAGGAATAAGAATCCATACACTTTTCAGGGCTGAGTTTCTAGCGTACTATACAGCATTTTCTAAATGCATAGCAGACTCTTATGCAGGCCACACTGCCATGTGGTAAGCACTTGGCAGACTATCCAAGTTCAGTGCTCCAAGTTAGCAGCAGAAACAAATAGTACGAACCTGTAGGAATTGTACCTTAAGGATTTAGCTGTATTATTGCAATGTATGGTAGTATTTCTTCTTTAAAAGTATCAAGAATCATTCTTTTTGTGCCTTAACATAACATGCACAAAATAGTAAGACAAATGTTATTTATCCATGAATGACATGGACTTGCCTATAAACTTGCGAAGGGGGACCAGCAGGCAATGGGAGAGTCCCTGTTCCCCGGAGCACTAACGGGAGTAACAAGGAACAACGGTCATAAATTGACCAAGAGTAGATTCAGGCTAGACATCAGGAGGCACTACTTTAGTCAGGGTGGCTAGGAGCTGGAACCAACTTCCAACGGAAGTGGTACCTGCTCCTACCCTGGGGGTCTTCAAAAGGAGGCTAGACATTCACCTAGCTGAGGTCATTTGACCCCAGCATCCTTTCCTGCCCGTGGCAGGGGGGCAGACTTGATGATCTGCTTAGGTCCCTTCTGACCCTACCAACTATGAAACTATGACAATCTCCTAAGTTAAAAATATGGCTAACTATTGAATATGGATAATTAGCCAACATTACCAATCACTTTGGACTGACGAAAACAACCATATGTTACTAGACTCACACACAGTGCATATTAAAAGAAAAAAGTTGGACTATTTAGTATATATTAACCTAGTGATTCTCAACCATAGTGCCATGAAGTAGTATTAAGGGTGCCAAACAATGTTGTGCGCCAGCACTCGCACGTGCTTCACAAGATAAACCCAGAGATTTCAAATTGGATCCACGGTGCCAAAAAATATTTTAATCTGTTATAGATTGAGTTCATTGCAAGAGAAGAACTGCTCTAGTATTTTTCCAGTCAAGAAATTAGTCAAAGCTAAGAACTTCCATTTTTCCTTAGTCTAGCTTGGGTCCAACGAGGTTGAAAACCATTGCACTAAACCACTGAGTATGTTCCAAAACAGGGTTTAGACTGGACAAAAATGTATGTAATAAACCTAGGAAAACCTGGCAACATAATTTAACTGATATGGTTACACAAGAACAGATTCTTGCCATTTTTGCCTTGTTCAACTACCTAAAGCTGTAGCACTTTTACTACAAAATGAGCACCAATTCTTCATATAACAACAACTATATGCAAAATAGAGAGAATTTTAGAAAACGATAGTTGGATCCTTTAATCTCATCTTAATTATACTAGCCTATAAGAACAAAACTGGTACACCTGATTTATAATTCCATTTATGGACTGCTTCGAGCAAGATCAGCTGGGTAGACGTACAAAACCAACAAGTTCACTACAGCTTACAAGAGGCAAATGCATGAATAGGATCCCAGTGATATGGAGTTACTGAAAACACTACAGTTCCAGAGGATAAGTATGACTTCTTGTAGCTTGCTCAAGGGCATTAAAACTTTCTACTTACTAAAAATTAACCTGAGAAAATATGAACGCAATGGTCATGCTAAAGATTCTTCCTCTGGACTAGTGTTGTTGCCAACAGAGTAATTTACTTTCCTTTCCAGTTTCACAACATTTCCTGGAATAACCCTGTGTAGCTTCATTTGCCTAAACTGAGTTGGAATTAGATGTGTACCATTAGAAGTCTAAAATACAAGGATCAGTCAGAAAGTAGTGACTCCTATTTTTTTAAAATCTCCTAAGCGAGCCATGGGCATAGGAGGGTTGTTCTTCTTGACTTCTTGCCTAAAGTGGCAAAGAGTAAAATTCAGAGGTCTAACATCCAAGCCCTGAAGAAAATGAAAAGCTGAATACTTAAGTACTGCTTCTGCATGACAATGCTTGGCTCACTCACCATCTTATGCACAACAAACAACTTCAGCATTTGGATGGACTGAGATGCATTATCCTCCATACAGCCCAGAGGATGAAGAATGGACTGAAGGCCAGATTTTTGGGAGTATGGCAGCAAATGAAGGCTATGTGACAGTGGCTATGCAACAAAAGCAAGGACTTTTCAGTGTCAAGATACATGCCCTTGTTCACCAGTGGATAAAGGCCATTGGCAGAGAAAGAGACAAAGTCAAAATAGCTGTGTGTTTAGCAATGATGTATACATTTTCTGTGCAAGTTTAATATTTTTCAGTAATACTCAGCTGGGGGGGTGGAAAAATAGGAGGCATTACTCCAACTGACCCTTGTAAAACCAAAAATCTTTCAACAAATGACAGGCTTACCTACATTAATCTCAAGGCAGGCTTAGGGGACAAGCCTGTCCTGACCTACAGGCAACAACCCCTGCCCCACCTCATTGTTTCTTCAGCAACAGACTACCTAGCTTCTATATTCTTCGAGGCACCAGGCCTTGCAACAAGCCCAGATATCAGTTATGCCGCCTCATCAACACAAAACACATTATCACTGGACCAAACAACACTGCTTGTAGCATCTAGGGTTCATTTACCTACTCCCCTACCAACATCATATCAGCGATCACCTGTTTACAATACCTCTCTACTGTTTATAATGGACAGATGGGGTGGGTGATCCCTTCATGAAAGAATGAATAGACACCATTCTGAAATTAAATCCAGAACTGCATAAAAGCATGCAGCAGAGCACTAACATCACTGGCTATTCCATCACTGCCCTCAGAGTAGCCATTCTTAAACTAAACAAAAAACAAAACAAAACAAACAAACAAACAAAAAAACAAAAAAAACTTTAAAAACTTGAATTAGAAGCTGCAGAACAAGAAAACATCCACAGACTGGACTGTGTTAAGTAAACAGAGACTACGATTTATCCCAATACCTAGATTAGCTTTTTATAATTTGTATGTTCCTATGGGTTTACTGGCTGTTGGGTTTTTCCCCCCTCTCTCCAACCCACCTTTCCCCCCTCAGCATTGTTCCTTCTCCTTTCCCTTATCTTTTGCATCTAATGCAGTGATTTCAAATGCCTGCTCTCTGCAGTTTCTTTCATGGCATCTGCTGTGAAGTAAGCTGCTGTTTATGAACGTTTATGCATATCTGAATTAGTCTGTTTAAGATGCACCTCTGCCTGGCCTTCTGCTTAAATTTTTGTAAAAGAAATTTAGTTTACCTTAAGCTATGCAGTCATAATGTTCCCTTATAAGAGCCATAGTTATCCCCAAAACACCTATCAATAGGTTCTGTTGGTGAATAGAAGACAAAATCTAAAAGACTGGAGTAAGTTGCATCAGCTATGACTGTGGAGTACCTTGCCCATTTGCAGCCCATACCAGAGAGAGAGAGAGAGAGAGAGAGAGAGAGAGAGAATTCATAGAAATTGCATGTATAATTATAGTTATACTTACACAGAATTGAAGAGGTAGGCTCGTCCCTGGCTTCCCTGAAAAGACTGCATAGAAAAGAAAAGAAAAAGCAATTTTAGGAGACATAGCATATCCAAGTATGAGTGTGTCAAGAAAGGAATACTAGAAATGAAAGTTTATATAAAGTCACTTTTCAATAAGGTCCCATCCACACAAACTTTTAGCCACATCTGTAAATCAACTGGTAACAGGGTTGCCTCTTAGTTGGATTTGTGCTCAAACACCATGTGGCTGCATTTCCTCAAGTGGTACAACATGCTTTTTTGTATCATAGACAGGTAACAGTGTCTCATCCATATTCCTCACAGCTTACACAGATTGCCCAAGATGCATTGCTCTGGTCTTGCATACTTCTGGAGCTACTCTGTAGACATGTCTTCAGTGATGCAGTAGCAGATAGCAGTCCATTTTCTTGTGATACGGAGACAGACACATATGACAGCATGGTGGGTGTGAATGTACAAGGCCGTTTGAGACACGACTGCAAACCATATAGACTGCAATGTAGAAACAACTCAAGGTGTTTTTGCTCTGTATTGAATATGTAATGCTGTGATTTCATTACAAGACAGAAATGTTCCTGTAATATAGGCAAGTTAAATGAATAAGGCTGCCAACAAAGTTGAAATTAGAAAAAAATTAATGAATGAAAGATGACCACTGCATTTGGTACATTTCTGTTCAACTGAAAATAAAATGCTTCTGTTTGAGCTGTAGGAGTCCCTTTTAGATCCCACTGCACTATTTTCCATTGTTTGAAACTGGCTGAAGGAAAACAGGTCAGGATGGAAGAAACTTGTGAAGAATGCGACTGAAAAAAGTTAGTGTTTTCTGAGACCATTTCCATTTGCTGTTGACAGGGAGAAGGAAAAAATTACTTATAAGTAATTGGGTCTTTAAAAAGTTTAAGACTATTACATGTTGTAAAATTGGTTTTCTGAAATTCTGGTTGAGTTTGTGATACAGCTGTTTTATAAAATGCCTTGGTATGTGTGGAATCAGCCACATGTGGTCAGTCCTGTATCACCTGTTTTCACTCATTTCCTAGATCAAGCAAGGACAACAGAAGTTTGTTGCATCTTGTTGGTGCCCATTCAAATGGAAGCACTCTGGCAAGGTGGGGTAGCCCCAGATTACATTAAATATGTTCTCTCCAACTTCTCTCCCAAGGCTGCAGTTCAAAGATTGGAAAATCACCCAAGAGGACACAGGTATTAGGTCTGGGTCTTAAAAACAAACAAACAAACCCCCCAAAAAACTCATAACCTGAAAGATTGGGGGAGGAGGAAGTAAGGAGAGAGGCCAAGATGTACAAACTTGGGTAGGGGAAAATTCGGCAGAATCAGAGCCAAAATGTTCCATGTGTGTGAAGAAGCAAGAGAAAAAAACATGTATTTAAGTGTTCAGAAGCACCAAGAAGAGAGCGCTGCAGTTACTCAAACCAAAAGAAACCTAAAGGGCACAAGGGACCCGAATCACAGCAACTGGATAAAGTTCTATGAAGGCTGTGCGAAAAATGTATACCATTACAAAAACTTTTCTTACACCAGACAATAAAAGATGCACTATATAAAGCTAATATTCTGAAAACATAATTCAGTTTCTTGCTATTTTCCTCTCCATCTCTTCCCCCACCCACCAATATTAAAAGTAATGCACAAGTTGCCAGTTAGTCAAGCTATCTACCTGTTCTATGAAGAGGACCAAATCACGATTTTAGTTAGGATCCCAAAGCTGGGCTATATTAGGGCCATGTACAACACTGGATTCAAATGAAATGCCTCTCTGATGGCAATGGTAAATTTTAACAAAAAAAGCCTAAGTATGTTAGAGAAACCTCTAGACCTGTTTGCCTCCCCAGCCATTCCTAGGTAGAGGCAGTCAGAGAGTCGACACAGGAACCATATGCAAATATGACAAAAAAGCATTCTGCCACTTGGGCCTTGTCTGCACTAGTGAAATTTGTCAGACTACTCACCAAACTGTTCCCCTTAACATACTCATCTTACAGGACATTAAAAAAAAAAAAATTACATTAGGAAATTATGGCTGTAAAAATAACTTTTAAACCTTTGGTATATTAGCTATATATAGCATTTCTACAGATTGTCACAACTTTTCAGTTTTCTTTTACAGCCTTTTCAATAATATTTTTAAATAAAGTGCATCTTATAGCTAAGTCTTCACTACCTCCTTTTGATGTATGTGGTAGTAGACTACATGCGCATTTGAGTGAAAAAGAGGTGCTATGCTGTATTACTAACTAGTGAATGAGCATGACAGCCTATATAAAAGACTGGATGCAATAAAAACAATGCAACTTAACAGCTTTTTTAAATGCATCATGTTAGGTAGGACTTCCATTTTTTATTTTTTTAAATAAATATTTCACAGCAACCCAACACAAGGCACTTGTCTCAGTACAATGCAAGTAACCACTTTTTAGGATTACTAAAAAGACACCTTCCATATTTCTCAGACACCTTCCATATTTCTCAAGAGTGTCCCAAAACCAAGAGCATATATTGTAAAGAATTTCTCAAATAACCTCTTTACAAAAGTTTGAGGATATTTTAACATTAATTGATCAA